CTCTATTAATGCCATTCTTTAATTTAAAGTATTTATCATCTCTCACTCTCAGTGGGAAGGAGGTAGCTAATTTCAAGGTTCATATAATGAAATGTTCTCTCATTTCAAAACCTGTTAGGAGTCTTCAGGGCTCAAAGAACTGTTTAACTGATTATATAACCTTTCAGGAATAAGCTGCTAGTAGAGATTTAGTCTAACTGATTAAGAATCACTAAGGCAAAATATGAAATCTAGGTTTGTATGCAATCTGGGGATAATATTACCTAAAAATTATGATCTTGGTACATGGTACAAAAAGTATAAATTACAGGGAATAATAGAGTATTTTGTGTGGATAGAATGCCTATGCGATTTAGCTTAATAGAATATGTAAGAAAACTACCTTTGTTAGTAGGCATTTCACCTAGTTGTTTTGTTCTGTGAGCATTTGAGATAATACTTTTTCAATAAGTCATTCCAGCAAATAATCATGGATGTTAGCCATGACAGGATGGAACAGGTAAATATTGTTTGCCATCCTGTCATGGACTCTCATGGGATTCATGCTTAAGTTGGGAAAACAGTTGGGAGTTTTCACATATATACAGAGATTCTCCTGGATGGAGTGGAGATGAAACTGCAATAGGTTAAGATGCTAGCAGAAAAGGATCTGTGGTTTGAGGAGAAGAAGATCAGCAAGATATTTAGACAGTGAAGGCTACTGAAGAAGTACCACTGAAAGATCACCAAAGACTACCAGCTTCTATATAATGGAAGATGAGGAAAAATGGCACAAATGAGGTCATGTCTATTGGGTGTACAGAGATGGAAAAGGGTATCCAAAGATCAATGTTCCTCAGACACATGGATTTTCCAGCTAGCCTCTTGATTAACTATAAGGGAATTTTAGTACTGCTATTTATACACTACTAATTTATGCACATGAACTTCAGAAGAAGCATTATTTTGCAGACAGGAAAATAATCAATCACTGACTGGCAGAGCAATAACACTGATAGAATTATTTACTATTTATACTACCTTCTAACATTTTTATTACATCCGAGCTGCAGAGAGGAGTGATTTACAAGATTTAGTAATTTGCACATCATCTTGTATAGGTATTGATATTTTTTTCCAAAAGTAGAGTTCATCACTTTGTACTCTATTTGTTGACAAAAACGCAATATCTTATGCAGTTGTAAGCAGTTCAGGTGTTATTTTTAACCTGCATTTGTGTTTTCTATATTACTATGCCTTCCTCATATTATAGTAAAGCCAGTTCCTGAATATTTCCTATCTCTAGAAATGTATGTCATCTTCCAGAATCCTGTTTATAAAAAGATTCAATTGATATCTTCCTTTAATCTTATGTTAATCTTTTAGGAAGTTAGGTGATTATTGAATATATTATTTGTACATTTTCCTATGATTGCTCTGATATTTTTTTTAAAAAATCATTTTTTCTAATATTTCTTTAATCAGTTGATATTTCTATTTGCTTCTCTTTTCTTGCTTGATATTGAAAGTCTGTGTTATAGTGATTGATTGTCTTTGTTTCATTGACTATCTTGATAACTTGTTCTGAAAGTCACTTGGATCTTTTTCTGTCTGAAATTTGGAAAATATATATTGTTTCAGTTTTCACATGTCTTCCCCCTAACTTGTTAGGCACCCTTTCACATAGGTGAAGTACACATGTATCCCTTGCACTGATCTTATATTTTGACTTAATGGTCTCCAAGTCATGTCTTTTTGCTTTTTGGAATACCCAGTTTTTCCATTTTAAAATTTAACTCATATATTTCACAACAATTCATTAACTACTCCACAATTTGGACTTGGAAAAGTTCTTGTTTACTGGATAATACTTTTTTATTTTCTCTTTCCTATGATATAGTCTGTTAGATTCTGATATGGTATATCTGATCATAATCAATGATGTTTTATACATTATTAAGTTGGTATTAGTAACAAACAACAACAAAACTTTATAAAAACATTATTAACTTATCTCCAGCCTTTTGGTATTTTAAGTTCTAAATTTCCTCATTTCTCCAACTTTTGTTTTCAGTCTCCGTTTAGCAGCCTCCCTTGCAATTTACCATAAAATTCATTGGTGTCTTCTACCTACCACAGTATCGATATCACTTTATAACACTAATATTTGCTGCATAGCCATTAATTACAAAATTGTTTGTATCTATATTAGCAATGTTTACTTTGAATATCATTGTTGTTTCATTCTTTCATATAAAGGCCTCTCCCAGAAACCCTCTGAGTCTACACACTCCTCACCCTGCTTTCTTGGTGTAGTGGCCTTATATTTACTATTGTCACAACTTATATTGCAGTGGTACATATGAGAGAGATAGGATCCCCAGAGTCTAAACAACTTACTGGAAAGTGCAAAGAAAAAAACATGATAAATTCTATAGAACCATATTCTAGGTCTGAAATGAGGCATGCAATTAGATAAATCAACCCTCATTTTTGGAGATGGATCAATATCACAAGTTGTTAAATTACTTTTTTAAAAAAAGGAAAACAAAGAAGATGCTTTAAGTAATCATTCAGTGGCAAAGTAAAAAAAAAGTGAAAGAGCTGCTTAAAACACAGTGTTAAGTCCTGGGAGCGGTGGCGAATGAAGAATACACATGTTTCTTGAACAGCTCTTTATTGTGCTTATTTCAAACTCCAACAATGAGCAAAGGCATGCAGGCCTCCTTTTATACGTCCCCATTCCCTGGACAAGATGGCAACATCACTAGGCACTTTTCGCGCCTTGCGCATGCGCACTTCGTCGGCGCCACTCAGTCTGGTCCCAGGCAGCTTTTGCAATTGCCCGAGAACCTTGCAATGTCCCGAGTCTGCATTTGCAGGCTCAGGACACAACACACAGAATCAATTTTAAACAGATATCCAAAAGGGGTTTTAAAAAAAAGATGAAAGGGTATATAAGATTCTTGGAGGATCAATATGTTGATCTGTCCTTAATTTAGAAAAAAATCTGCTAGAAAAAGATTGCAAGTTATATAAAAGCAATATTGATTATATAAAGTAGAAAGGACATAGATATAAATGATAATAAATTACAAATACAAGGGAAAATATTAACTAACCTTATGGATTATGACTATTCTAATTAAAATTGTTATCTATTCTTTAGGACACCCAGATGCCTGAAGTAAAATCACCCTGCTTGACGTTATAGACTGCTCCTTGTAACTGGTTTCCTTTACACGAAAAACTAAAGAGATTTCTTTTTCTTTTTCCAGCCTCAGACTACATATTGTTTCCTCCATGCCTCCCATAATTTAGACTCTCCCATAATTGTAAAATACAAAAAACTTTTTTTTTCTTTAGAAGGGAAGGAGCTGTGGGGAATTCCTTTGGTTTTGTCCTCAGGTCTATGCATCAGAGATAGCTTATTTAAGACAAAAAGACTGGGAAGTATCTGTTAGTTGTGACTGCTGTACCCAGCATCACAACAATACCAAATGCCAAATCCTAGTAGGAAAGGCACATAAGATTTTCATACAACTATAGCTATGGTCACCCAACATCAGCGATCTGATAAGATGCATGTTGTCTATATTATTGTTAATAATTTTATCAGAATTACTATTAATTATTTTACCAGAATTGTTTTTTTTTTTAAAAAAACCAGCAGAATGTAATATTTTGTTCATAAAAACATGAATGCATTACCTTATTTTTAAAATATACATATAAATTTATATTGGGGATTATCTAGTGACGTTTTGGCTCCAAAGAGGAAAATCTAATCTGCCCTAAATATGAGATAGAAGTGAAGATTGAATGTCTGCAGAAGATGTTATTTTTGGGGGAATGTGCCATTCAAACAATGTATATCCATATAAATCTTTACATAAGAATATTGGATATTGTAGTTGAATTTGAGGTTAATAATGTTTTCCCAATTCTGAGTAAGTATTAGTCAAATCTCTAGTTAGAGAATTTTGATTTAAGCCTTACCAGTGTGTATCCAAATGCAAAGAACCTAGACAAGGGGCACAAATTCTATATTGGACAAATATTGTAAACAAACAAAGAAATGAATCATCCATTGCTAAAGAGGGAAAATGCATAAATCACATGTTAAAATTAATGATAAACATCATTTAATATTGAACAGAATGAATAAGAAGATTGTTTGTTGGCTGGGCAATATATATATATATAGACACACAATCTATTCTCTTCAGAATGGAAAATGCAGCCAGGAAATACGAAAATATGTCTCCCTTTTCACTGAGATGTCATTTTTAAATGGCCCACATACAAATGCCTTGTCACTGACATGTCACTGACTGACTCACAAGTTTTGGTAGAAAGTAGATAATCATTTTTTTCACTAATGCGAAAACACAGCTCTTACTGATGGATGCTGAACTAAAAAAGAAATATAGAAACTAATATTGCATATAGTAACTGTAGCAAGATTATTGTACACATAAAGAATAAATATTCACATTAGAGTATTGTATTATAAACTTTATAGAGCTCGCAAAAATAAAAACTTTTTTCTAAAACTAGAAGCCTTATATTGACTTTTTGCTGAAAGAAGAAAAGAGTGACCTAATGATTTGTGGATCTGGGGATTAGAAAGATTTAAAAAAGAATGGTGAAAAAAAGGACAGAAGTCAAAAAATATTTTCTTTATTTTTTCACTTATTTTCTAATTTCCTACCTTTTCCCTTTTTCTTATTTTTCTTTTCATTTTTTATACTTTTATGGTATTGAAAATGTTTAATATTTTTAAAACGGTGTTTACATGACCCTATTTCTTCCATCTGCTATAAAAGATTAAAATATAGTAAAAGTTATTTAGAATTTAGTCATGGTTAAATCCCTTTCTTAATCATGAGCATTAATTACACTAAGCTGACAATTTCTCATAGTTTACAAAACACTGATCATATTATCCCTATGTCTGGTCTGTCCTCTTCTTCATTGATCTTTCTGTTATCTAGTAACAGTATCTAGGAGTGAATTACCTCTTTAGCAGCCAAAACTGCTTAAATCCAACTTAGTTGGCTAGCCATATTCTTTTCCATCTCCCAAATTGCAAAATCAGTTCTCTTTCCTGCCAACATCATGGCCATCTTCATTTTCTATCTCCAAAGCATGAAAAATAGCCTTCCTTCTGCATATCCTCTTGAACAGTCTGAAAGGAACAGCAACAAGTTCAAATGCAAGATTTATGAAATATGCAGTTAATTCTATTGTGACTGAGAAATAATTTCTAGTGCATGAGGTTACCTCTTATCTTTATATTGGATCCAGCACCATGAGGGAATTTAAAATAAGTATAAAATCTAGAAAGGTAATTTTTTTAAAAAAAAAAAATCAAGGAAAAAATTAAATCTAATCATATAGAACGTGCTTTTGGTAACCTCAATTGGATTTTTCCACAGCTGAAAATACAACTGGGTGATACACATTCTTACTGTGACTTGGCAGAATAGACCGTGATCATTAAAGTATGAGTTTGACATGCTTTTTGTTTGTTTTCCCCTGGAAATTTCACTGAGAAATAAACATAGAAAATAACAAGTCACTTAAAACCAATTATCTGATTCACATTTTGACACTAAATCATAATTTGTTTATCCAGGGTTTGTTGAGACACTAAACTATAAATGAAGATTCATAAACTCCACTAACTAGATTTATATAATTTACCAAGACCAAACACTAAAAGTTATATTGTGTATAAATCAATGAATGTGTTTTATAACATTAAATGTCCTGAAAAAAATATTATTTGCTAGAGGATGTCAGCAAGTATAATTTAGACACTTAATTCCCTTTTACAGATTAACATTTTCATGTAATTTATATCTGCATATAAAATTAGTTAATTAATCAGGAGTAAAATCTTTAAATTAGAAAATCAATAAAGGAACACCTGTTCATTTCAATGTAAATCATGTGCAACAACTAATACTTAATATACTGTGTAATATATCTATTGATAAATTACATCTCAAGAGTAATGATAAAAACTCAATTTTGTAATTCAATTATTTTGGGAAAGTATGATTGTCAGTTCATTTAATTTTTATAAATTCACTTTCAGTTAAATAATGTGGCATGTACTAGGTTCTTAAATTGCCACTTGTTTCTTATGTCTAATATGTCCAATGTGTTAAAATACAACAGAGTAGTGTGACTAAACAAGAAAAACATGCATATGCATAAAAAAATGGGCATGATTGCAGTGAAAGGAACACTGCAAATATCTGTTATATCACAGAAGAACACAGCAAATGTCACTATTTGTTTTTTCAGAGAACATATTTCATCAGAGTATACTGAATGTCTTCAAGTGTTCAGCTTTTGATAATTAGTGCATAGGCGTATATTAATTTGTCAAAGAAAGAGTATACTTTATTTTGCTGATTTTTGAGTGGGTTGCTTAATCGTCTGTTTAAAGAAATTACTCTGAAGAGGGTTTGATGACAGAATTTATAATATACTGTATCAGTCAAGATAATATAAGGTAAAAAGCAGCACCTTCCCTTCCAGAGGTGATTTCAATACTTACAGATTCTGTAGCTTCTGAAGCTCTTAGAAGAATTCATTCAGTTATGAGCATCATAAGTCTGATTTACATTGCCAGACATTTGATCCTTATGATCCAGTATTAGCTACTTCTCTTGGCAATAGAACACTATGGCTCAGATACCACTGCTGCTTCTTATAATCTTATGAGCTGGAACATATTTTCCACTCCCACATCTGATAGCCTGCTTTTCTCATTCCAAGTTTGTTTCTAATCACATAAACAACATTTCACCTGAGTGAATAACTGAATAATTTCATCTTTTTTTCAATTTTCTCTAATATACACTGAAGATTATAAAATATGCTGTGGCTAAAGTGTGCAAACTAATCCTGCAAAATTAATGTTGTGGAATTTTTATTAGTCCTGCACACAGAGTGAAAAAGAGCAATTTAATGGTCCTATATAGATTGATTTTAAAATGAGATATAGATGAGAGAGGAGGGAGGGAGGGAGAGAGAGAGAGAGAGATGATATATTTTAAAGCCGATTAATTTTCTTAAGCTTTTTGGAAGGGGTTGAGTTTATTCAGCAGTATAGCAATAGCACTTTGACTTATATACCGCTTCACAGTGCTTTATAGCCCTGTCTAAGTGGTTTACAGAATCAGCACACTTCCCCCAACAATCTAGGTCCTCGTTTTACTTACCTCAGAAGGATGCAAGGCTGAATTAATTTTGAGCCCTTCAGAATTGAATTGCTGAATTGCAGGCATCCGGCAGTCAGCAAAAGTAGCCTGCAGTACTGCATTCTAATCATTGCACCATCGATATGTTTGTTATAAATAACGTATTCATCTAGTTTTGAGTAAACTTTAATAGGACTGAATGATCATTCTGCAGATACTTGGAAATATGTAGACCCCATTGTGGTCCTTGAGATTTACACCTAAATAATATATAGAGCTACCACATATGTATGTGAATGAATATATGGGTGGACTATAGGAGTTGGGCAGCCAATAAATATTGCTGTTGTGCTTTTGTTCAAATCAGCAGATTGAAATGCCTTTTCCAAAGTCAGATTAGACTCAGAAACCTAGTTTAATCACAGTTTCTTTTTAAATTTGGGGTCTTTATTAAAATAGGACACTATTATGTAGACATCCAGAAAGCTCAGATGAGTCAGAAGAGGAACTATAGTCACTTTGTCCCCTGCCAATATATCATAACATGGGACAAGCATAGCTGGCAACATCATTTTTCTGCTTTGTGTTCATGACGAGGCTTCATCTTGTCTCTAGTCCACGAGTAAGTTTGGTTTCAGTCATCATTAGTTACAGTAGCATTAATATTTGCCCCCTTATTATAACAATATCTAGAGGCAATCCAGAGATGTTAAAATCTGTTAGGATTTGTGTTCTATTACCTTGGAAGTGTCTGCAATGAGATAGAATAATGATGGACAACAGAGATAACAAACCTCACGCTTGAATCATTTTCAATTGATTCAAGAATAGGTCGACATCTGCCCCACCAGTTTGTTTAACAGATAGACTTGCTACTGGCAAACTTTAGCATGATGATATTTAATTCATTAATGCAAACATCAAAAATCATTAAGTCTCTCTTTTGCATAAAATATTCATAGTAGAAGAAAGATCAAATTGATTGCCAAACATTCTAATTTTTCAGTTAAAAAGAATAATAAAACCCCTGAAGATTAAATTAACAGCTGCTGAAAAAAACAAAAGAATAAAGTTGCATCTTCTCAATGAAGTTTCTGCAAAATGGGTCCTACCAACCATAAAAAATGTAATATATGCAGCCTTTCTCCTGTGGGGGATGGGAAGGGTTTGTGAGTGTGGGTGTGTCTGCCTAGCCCTTTCCATTGATTTGATCTAAGAACTGAGCTAAACAAGTTAGACTTTTAGCAGTAATACTCACCAAATTACTATGTATGTACTGTATGTACAGTATGTATGTATGTAGTCAATAATTCAGTCAGTGTATATGGTCTCTCACTGACTTTGTATGCCAGATAACATACTTTTTATTCTGTAATTCTGATCTCTTGTATTAATGATTCTAAAAATTATTCTCAGCTTCCTGATGGGTTGTTATTTACAAATATTATTTTATACATAATGGACAAAAAGTTTCCTTACACTTTACATTTGTTCCTTAAAAATTCCCAGAATGATTCTCTTTGTTCGCCATATGCATTGGCTAAATGCACAGCTCAGAGAGATGAGTTATCTGTTTCCCAAATGGCGGAGTCTTAATGTAACAAGGTTGAGGAGCTGAGTGTTCTCATTACACACACTTGCTTTTGATGAGGAGAGAACATAAATACTTAGTAAATTGCTTTTAAATTGCTCTCTAATGAGTTACATGGCAAGTCCCTTTCCATAATACCTCTTCCTTCTTTCTCACTCTTTGCAACACTAATTGCCCAAATAACTGAATTGAAAGTAGTGATTTAAATTGAAAGTAGTGATTTACATTTCTTCAGTTTTTAATGTTAAATATTAACTGTTCTGAGAATTTTTATGAAACAATAGAAAAGTAGATGGCATTAGTAGTATCTTCTGATTATCCAAACTTCTTAAATATTGCTTGTATGTATATGTGTGAGCAAAGGATCTGCATGACAACACTAATGCAAGGGTACAATGAAAGAAGATAGAAATTATTCTGGCAGCTGTGGATTCTGAAATATACATTTATAAAGTCTATTTTCCATTGTAAAGAACTTCTTTTAAAATGTTGTTCCATAATTAACAAAATAATAAAAATGTTATTTAATATAACAGTATTTAACAAACACATTTTAATTCATTTAGAGCAAAAATGTTTTCTCTGAGGCTTACCATGGCAATGTGCTTCCACAGTTTTTCTGCCGAAAGTGGTTTACTTATGAAGACAAATGTCCAGTAATAGAAATGCTCTCTTCTAGTAAAGGCAAAGTGGGCAGCCATGTTGAATAAATAAGTGGACTCTATCATTTCCTAGACAATCATTTAAATCTGTCTTGCCATTTTTTTTTTACTTTTATTGTTTAACTTCCCATCTATTTCCCATCTAAACAGGATCATTCCTACTTAGCATTTTAAGAAACAACCAAGTTTAATTAGTTCTGCCACCTCATGGCCAAATATTGGAGATTTATGAAATTGTAATGGCCCCATTACTGATGGATGGTACTGGAAAATAATGTTTGTGAAGGGTAAGATTTATGAGGAGTGAATTGTTGTAACCAAATATCTTAGGAATTTATCTCAGTACCACGCAGCCTCTGACATATATTCCTGAATATGTAGGAATATATGGGTAAACAAACTAAATTTCAAAGTGCTAGTTGCATAGTTAAATATTTAATATTCATGCAGAATTCATTCATGGGATTTTGGAATACTTTGTTTAGTGGCTAAGGTGTAAGGCTGAGAACTTGGGAAATCTAGTTCAAATCCCCACAAGACTACTAAATGCCTGAAGAATACCAGATACAAATTTGCAGTAACATCCTTAAAGATGAAATGAACAAAAAATATCCTAAAATTGAGGGGGCAAGCTATAAAGAAGTAACAGCACAAAAATATTCAAGAACTGTGTAAAATCTGTAATATGTACAAATATGTTCAAATATACCAAATATTCTGGAAAGGGAATTTAAATTGTCCTAGAAAATATCACTGACAATAAAGCTGTGGAACCTGATGAAATATCACCAAAACTGTTTACAACATTTGAAGATGATCCTGTTAAAATCATATGTACAGTTTATAAGCATCTATGGAACAAACTGTGGCCGAGGACCTAGAGCTAAATTTCCATTTGTGTAGTCTTCACCAACCTATCACAGATAAGGGATTGTTTCCTTGAGAGTAATTGTATAATCTGGTCAGTCCCGTCTCATCTTGGAGAAGTATCTAAGGATTATTATGTTCCACAAAACAAATATAAACATTATGGTGGAGTAAACTTTTAAAAGGAGAGAAGGGAAGTTGAGAACACACATCAATATTTCCATTATTTGCTTGCATGCTTGATTATGTACCAAGTTATGTCTGTTTCCTAGTGACCATATAGATTAATTTTCTCTAGAAAATCTATCCCTAACCTTCTCTTTCGTGTCTCTCAACAATGCAATCATCACCTCTGTAAATGAGTTTATCTATCCACCTTGTTGCTTTTCTCTTTCATTCTACCTTTCCCACCATTAGAGTTTTTCCAGAGAGCTGGGTCTTTGCATAATGTTTGCAAAGTAGGATCATTTGAGCTTGGTCATTTTTTTTTGGAGTGCAAACTCTTGGTTGATTTGTTCAATGATGTTGATTACTTGGCTGCTTACAGTATTCTCAGGAGTCTTTAATTGGGAATAGTTATCATCTAACCAGATTTATAATTTTAATTTGCTAAAAATTTCCATCAACAAAGATAGTAAAAAGGAATTTATTCCCCCCCAAAAAACAAGCATAAACAGTAAAATGTAGGCTATAGACATACAATTTTTATTTCTCATGCTTACTTACATACATAAATACATTTAAAATCTTGTTAGATTGTAAGTATATATTACACATTTCAATATCTTTGCTTGCTGTTTGCTTTGGAAAAAAAGACGTACAAAAGCTGTACAGGATACTTTTCTTTGTTTTGAATGATTTTAATTCCTTACAGTGAGCATGGTTAACAAATTGAATGTATGATCTTATACATTGATGTATAAGTATTGATTTCCATTAGCAATTTGTTTGAAAAGAGGGCAACATCCTATTACAGCATATAAAAAATTAACAAAGTCTATTTAGTCTGTAATTGCCAACATATTCTAGCAATATGTTCATCTATTTGGTGTGAGAAAGGACTTTTGTACATACCTTTTCTTTCAGAGTAACTTTTTCCCCAAAAGACATAGCAATATATTTGATTACCTTTCTTGAATTAAACAGTTTTTCCACTCAAGATCATTTTGCAGTTAGAAATGTTTTGAAAATCTTCGATGAAACTCCTACTACTTCAACACTAGGTTGCTATGCCAACAACTGATGAGTAACATTTTTGTTAAAGCATAGATAATTTTTTAGGATTTCTGTCAGCTATAATGCAGCTTAAACAAAATTCTTCACTACAACCCAAAAAAATGTTTC